AAACCAAGGAACTGAACCCTTCCAAAATTTTGTAGATAGGTATCTTGCATGCTCTAGTATAAATATTTTCCCTATTGAGTATTTTCTTTATAGAGAAACAGTGAACAGAATACAGAAAGTTTTGAGTGACCCACTAGAGAGGACTACGAAGGAATCAGAGATATTTCTATTGAAAGGAAAGAAAAAAGCAGACTACGTATGATACTTGCCTCTATCTATTTGAATAACTGCCAAATGAAGAAAGAAGTTAAATTATAGTGTCTTTCCCAAGGCAGAACTAGTACAAATGGATGAAATTTACAAGACAGATTTTTATTCTCTATTAGAAAGCATCACCTAATATTGAGTTGTCAAAAATTCAATTGCTGTACTGCGAGGTGGTGGATTTCTTGTCATTGGAAGATTTCCTGCAGAGAGCTGCTTAAAGCCATTTTTAAACATAGGCAGCTCTTACTTGGATCGGACAGGGCACTGGATAACCTTATCTAACTCTTGCAATAAGAAAACTTAAAGAAATAAATCAGTACGTTCTTGAAAGAATAAAAGTTGTACATTATGTTTTAAATTATCAGCTTCATTTGCAGTCAAATGTAAATTATGATAGTTTATTGATTAGTGGTCCTTCTAGCTGATTGTATTTTACCTCCTTGATTCTCTACACATGACCAATCTGAAAGTTTATTTTTTGTAAAAACACATTTGTTTTCCAGGCATCTTACTAGAAGAGATAATTTACAAGGGACGAGGGGGAATATACCTGAATAATGGCTTAACACCATTCTGCCCACAGTTACTCTCCTCTGCTTAAATGAGAGGTCAAATTAGAAGCGATACCCACTTAACTAATGGAATCTGTGAATCTCTAATGCAGTACCAAGCTTAACCTTTCTCCTTTCACTTTCTCAGTAAATTTTCCATCACACAACTCTCAGTTGAATGCCCGAATCATTCATTCATTTCATTAATTGTTCAGCATGCCAATAGTCTGACTGTGTTCAGCATGCCAATCAGTCTGATTGTGTATGTCACACCCAGCCCCTGCCCCTGCTCAGGGCCCCTTCCTAATCCATCAGCCAGCGTCAGCAGCACTGGCTTCACAGCAGCTATCTCTGGCACTGGTCTCCCTTTTTCTTTACTCATGACTTCCTGATGATTGAAGCAGTCATGTGTGAGTTTCAGTCACTAGAAGCTTTTATACAGTTTCCTGTCCTCACTTTCTGTGGCCTTAAAATGCTTCTAGCCATGATGATCCAAACAACAAGAAAAACAGGTACCACATCCAACTCCACAGACACTGCTTGTTCAGGCTCAGTTAATGTAACTATTACAACTTATTTTCTTGTAATTTCAATTTATTTAATTATAAAGGATCTAAGAACTCCAGTGATATTATAAATTGCCTAGTATGTATGCTAATTAATAATTTAAAGGTCAAGTTATTTTACAATATATGCAAGTGAATTAAATTTTTTTGGGGGGGAAACTAAATATGATAAGAGTAAAGGTAAATTTTAAGTATGCTATAAGCTTTATCTGAAGATAAAGAGAAGCTGTATTTATTCTCAATTGTTGCTATAACAATTGTTGTAAACTTGGTTATAAATGAATAGATATAAAGGACATAATTATTATCTTTCAGTCTTCTATATCCTAAGTTCTGAATGAGTCTACAGTCCTGGTAGTCAGCAGAACTGCACTCTTTAAGGAGAATCTAGAGCAGAAATTTCACCTTCTGCTCCTACTGGCAGAAGGATCTTTCGATCCTCTGTCTTCCTATCAGGTATTACTGGGTCAAGTCCTTCTTTGACTCACATCTTTTGTTCTCTCCTCCAATTTTTTTCTTCCATTTTAAAAGGCATGAATAATTACATTGAAAGCCAGATGTAGTGGTGCACACTTGTAAACCCAGCACTTGGGAGGCTGAGGCAGGAGGATCATTGTAAGTTTGAGAACAGCCTGGGCTACAAAGTGAGTTCAAGACCAGCCATAACTGTGTAGTGAGACCTTTTCTTAAAAAAAACAAAACAAACCAAACAAACAAACAAAAAACAACAAAAACCACATACACAAAACTAATCATGATTGCATTTGACCTACTTGAATAATCCAGGCAAATCTTCACTTGCTAAAGTCAGTTCATTAACAATCTTAATTACACCTGTAACCTTAATTGTCCTTTGCCACAGAATACAGAACATTCATAGGTTTTAAGGATTAGGACGCATACAGCTAAGGAGGGTAGTATTTCACCTATCCAAATTACATAAAATTAAAATCTGATAAAATGAAGTGAGCTTTAAATTCCAGATCTGAATTATTATTGATGGAATTCAATTTTCCTTCAGTTATTCTGTATAATATAAATTACAAAAGCGCATAATCCATTATCACTTTGTGCCCAAAAGAATACACAAATGATGGGTGATAAGCACTGTCTAGACCCTCAAGAATGCCATCCCGGCCAGCTAAAATGTCTTTGAAGAGAACATCATAGCAGATTCTACTTTCTATATTACATCTGGAGGACATCACAGAATCACCTGGTGCTGAATGAATAGCTCAGGGGAAAACGTCTACTTGTGTATCATGAAACAAGACATAGTATGCTAATTCTCCGTATGTTACCGAAAAGATAACTCTTATTTTCCTCTTGTGATTCTAAAGTTCATTATTTAATCTTCCATTTCATCACAGACTTGTCTGACATTTTTGTTTTCTAGTTCTAGGATTTTACGTTTTCTTTATCTCACTTACGCAGTACTATATTGTAATAACACGTATTTTTTAAAAGAATCGAGTACAAAAAAGGACATAAAACTATAAGACATTTATAGACAGATGCCAGAACAAATATATAACTTGTAAAGGAACAGTGTCCTAGTATACATATGGCTGCTCCAGCCGTTAGCAAAGGCAAGATGAAGGTATTATCTGTTTTCATGTCTGAGGGTGAGCCCTTATGACAAAGAGGAGAAACCTGGAACAGTCTGCCTCTCTAACCTGAAATTTCAGCTACACTGGAGTAAGAAACACATGGTAAATGAGTGAAGCGTGTTTCTGGTAATGTAAGTTTAGGTCACAGTCCCCTGTCTATTCCTCTTTGACAGTGTGTCTAGGCTATGCCACCTCGTCACCGTGACCTGAGTGGCTTTGCCCCATCACACACTTCTGCCAAGTTACTTCTGACTTGAAGTCAGATGACCATGGACTGAATCCTCTGGACAGTGAGCCATATAGAACCTCTCCTTTGAAAGCGGAGTGTTGGGTACAGAATCTCAGCAACAGAAAAACCAATACATCTTATAGAGACCAGTGACAGTTGCCTCTATACATTTTTTAACTCAAGTACCAAACTGTGGTTTCAGCTGCTTTTCAACTGAATCATATCATTCTAAATGAACACTCCTTCCAAAGAAATAGTTTCCATAACAATGCACTAGAGATTCAAAATTCTAGTCAGTCATTTACTCCTGCCTTTAACATCTGCATCATATAGGTAGAAAAGGATACAATACTCTAAAAATTGCTTTTCCTTTTCTTTCTTTCTTTCCATTACTTTTCCCCTCCTCTTTCTTTTATACATATCCTTTTTAAATTTTGTTCCACCGTGTTACAAAGACCAACTAAGGATGGGAGTCAATCTCACCCATTCAGACATGCTCAGTTCAGGGCTTCTCATTGACAAATACCTTCAAGTGAAGCTCACTGTATTTCTTTCTATTCAGCTACCACAAAAAGTGTCTCTAATCTGCCTTTATTCATACCACAACACAAGTGCACAACATGCACAGACACACACACACACACACACACACACACAGTTAAAATATGACTCCAAATGCTGATGGATTTTATACATAAAAATGTTTTAGCCATAGACTGAGGTGGCAAATCATAAGGGCATTTGAATCATCAGGGAAAACTGAATATGTACTAATACCCAAACCTCTCCATGCACAGAGCATGTGCTACTGTGTTTATGGTCAGTGTCATGGAGCTCACTGTCTAAAACAGACTCGCAAACCGGAAACAGAGCATTTAGCTTTAATGGTTGGTGGTCCTCTGATTTTTAAGAAAAACAAGTCTGCCACTTTTTTTTTTTTTTTTTTTTTTTTTGGTTTTGAAACAAAATGTGTGAAATCTTACTCAGGATTTAAGGGTTGTTTATGCAAGGAAAGATTTGCATACTTAGGAGTTAATGAGAGTTAATATTTCTATTTAAATTTTTATATATTAAGCTTCTGGATTACTCTTAGGACTTCTTAAGTGCTTAAACATGGAATGTAACAGGTGCAAACAGAGGAGAGAATTAAGAAACAGATATAGGTGAGGATTTTTTCCTTAAACAGAATAATAGATATTTACACTGTGTCAATACTCAATGAAATCAGGCTTATGGTTTTGTACATTTTTGTTATGTTATATATGCCCTACAGATAAATGAGACAGATTTGGTTATTTATGAATAATAACAATGAGAAGATAGTGGACAAAAGAAAGACACAAGAATGAGAAAAAAACACTGGAATTGAAAGGTGGAAAAATGTACCAGAGTCATCCCTAGCAACATAGACCTTGGGCATATGCAAGCAAGTAACTGGTCCCACGACACGCTCTGCCTGTCCTTGTACCAGTGAACCTCCTGCAGACCTTCAGTCTCCAGTTTACTCCTATCTCATATTTTTCCTCTTTAACCATTGCCAGGTGCAGTTCCCAGATCACTAAAAGTAAATCAATAGCGCTTTTTTGAAATTCAGATTGAAATTCAGATATTTAAGAAGTTTATGAATGAAAGCCAACATGTGAAAGTATTCATGATTAATTAAGCTACATGGAAACTCTCAGGGCAAGGTGATTTTCCTTTGATACATGTTCCAGGAGAGTATTCTTGTTGAATATGAAGTAGCTTTCTACCATGCAGATGATTTAACGTTTAATATAAAAAAAAATCACAAAGAAGAGGAGCTTTGTAGTCAGATAGTCCTCCAATCAATACTTACGTTGTGCTTTGTGAGGTTGGAAATATTAGTTGCTATTGCTTGCAGCCAGTCAAAAGAGTCTTCAGTAGAGAGGCACTGAATAATCCCACTGCAAACCCCATCTACAGCGGTGACTTGAAAAGCATTCTGCCTGCAGACACACGAGAGCAAATCAGATCAAAATGCTGTATCACCCATCTGTCTGAGTATATCGACTTTGTGGACATGAGAAGAGGGTCTAGAGATAAAGATGGGGATGCAAGGGGAAGACAAAGTGAAAAACATCAAGCAGTCATATGCATAACAATTGCATTAATTCTTCATGATAAATACACATTATACAATGTAAACATATCAACAAAAAAGTAAAAAGTGATTACAGCAGTTGAAATACTCTTCTTTCAAATAACATTGCCAAATTCAAATCTTCTTATTTCCTTTATCAATATTCAATTTTAAATGAAATGACAAAAATAAATATATCATATTTTCAAATTAGAAAGAGGCGTCCTGAGATTTCAAGATATATGGGCAAAACTCTGAGGTACAAAACATACAGGATGTAAATAGAAAAGAATCTAAGAGATTTAGGATTATTCTTTTCTTGTTTTATCATAAAATTATATGTACTTTATATATCAGTTGAGTTTTTAACATCTCCTCTTGAGTTTTGTCGATAGGCTTTCTGACTTACAATGGAAAGACCATAGACATGAATGAAGGTTAAACATCGTAAGAAAGAGCCCTTAAATGTCCTAGGTTGCAATTTTCTGTTTGTCCTTTGCCCACTCAATTTTGGTGCACTCATATTCTCAAATATGTTTTGGGATTGAAGGCTCACACTCCCTCTTTGGTGGCTATGTCCTCAATTTTGTGTGAATGCTGATAACTTCAATAACATTAATTTAAAAATGAAACAGTCAGTGTAACTATATAGGCTTCTATGGATTTTTGCTGTTATTGTCAGAGAAAAATAAATAATACCATCTAAAATTACATACAAAAGTGGCATAGAACTTAATGCAGCTCCCTGAAAGTGCAATGATTTCCTTTTTTTGTTCGCCACCAAGTTCTTGCAATCTTTAGACATAAGCTTAATGGACAGGAATAGATGAAATCCCAGAGTGAATGGAAGCCAGCCCAATGCCATAGTCTGGAGAATCACCCCATTGTGCAACACAATATACCTTAGAAAATGTATAAACTATATTTAAGTCTCAGTCAATCGTGAGACAATAGAAAACCTCAGCAGCTCAGTATTCAAAGTGCTACACAAGTTACAAAAAATTACATTTTATACAAATAAATATCTTTTTTCCTGACTTTTGCAACTATTTACGGATATGAACCATTATTCACTTATTCAAACAAACAAACAAACACACAGACACATGGAGCAGTATCTAACTCAGCATCATAATTATGCCTCTAAAATGCTTTTTTTTTTCTTCAGACCAGCTCCTGGTTCAGAACCAAACAAATGGAGAAGCCGTGGGCATCCAAAATGCTTTGCATTCAAAATATTAATATTTTTGAGAAATTAGATTTTACATCCCAGGCTTAGGATTATCTACTGAAATAAAGGAAGCACTCATATGTACATATTTTTATTGTTTTCTCTTAAAAATGCATGAAATGCCTTTAGGAAATACAAGTATTATCTGTCTCTTTAACATAAAATTCTTTTGAATTGAAATGGAAAAATATACACAGCATGAAAAGAACATTGAACATTCACAAGAACATTTTTAGCGTTAATTCCACTTTTCAACAGTGAATGAGACATTTTTAAATACCTTAACAGAAGACTGACCATCCATGGAAAATGAGAACTGATTTCAATTGAGTAATACATGTTTCTTTTTGCTTTTTGGTTATCACAAGCTTTGCTTCATGTATTATAAGTTAAAGCATGCCTTGAACACACTTGTCATCTATTCTTTAAATGAATCATAGCAACTAGATATATTTATCTGATTAAAGTCAATATGCTCAGTTGAAATTTGCAAGCTAAAAATCTCTACATGTTGTGTAGTGTCTAAGTAGAATGCTTCTAAGGGACTAATCTCTTACAAACCCTATTGCTACATGTCGACAAAAACCAATTTGCATGTTCTGTATCAACTTTTCAAAGTCGATGAAAACTCTTTCACAAAGGAATGGAAGAGCTTTTATTTTTATCACGTATCACCTCTTTAAAAAGAGGCTGATCACAAAGACTACACTTGTCTGGGTTGCACTTCTGTCTTTACTACCAAACAGAGGAGAGTGTTGGCAAATCAGCCACACAGTGATGCCTCAGTTTCTTTAAGAGAAAAATGGAACTGTATATTTACAGATTTTGGGGGGGGGATTTATCATTCCCACAGTTCTTATTACTCTTTTTTGAGGAGAAGAAAACCAAATGTGACATAACAAAACAGAGTCATTCAAATCAAAAGGAGGGACATAGCACATAATGTAAAATCAGACTACAAGGTGATCAACAATGGTTACCATAATGCCTCTTGCTATCTTAAAAAGAACTGCCTATATCATCAGTTATAATAAAATTGAACAAAACAGTAAAGAACAAAACCAATAAAACCAAAACATTGGAAACATTACAGGACTTCAAAAGAAGATAATAGTCAAATCAAAAAGGGCATCACAGTGAATCTTATTGTCTGCACAGTTGTTGCCTATACTCTCAAACTTGGTACTATGAAGCAAAACAGAATAGAGTAAAATCAGTCAAAACAAGATGGTGAGAGCAATATAGGGTTTCAGATCAAGTTAATAGGAAATCAAAATGGTTTACTATAATATATCCTGCTATTTTTATTTATTTTTTCCCTTAATTAAAAAGACAAAAATAAATAACAAAAAAGGAGATTGAGATAAAAGAGGACATAACAACAAAACAGCACAGGTCAGAACATAACCATTTAAGCAAAATAGTGTTTCTTTACAAGATATCATGACATAAAAGTAGTTACCATAGTGTCTCTTTCCTTGAAATCTTTGGTAAAACTTCATATATTGTAGCATCAAACATATCAAGGCAATGTAAAATCATTCAAGAGAATGACAGTATTACAGGGTATTTAGAACCAGCTAACAGAAAATGAACAATGTTTTCTGTATTATCTCCTTGTTTATAAAAGTTTTTGTTTATATTATCACATATAATAAAATCCAATAAGATGCAACATGTTAAGACCGATAGAGACAGAAGAACAAAAGCTTGATGAGACTCCAAAACAAGATGATATTAAATCAGCACTACCTATTATGATGTCTTGTTTTCTCCAAAATAGCTGTTCATACCATCCAACCTTCTCTGCCTCATTTCTATTGAGCTCTATTTCTGTCATTAGTTGTCAGTTTGCCTTCTTCATTTCACTTTCTGCTCCATTTATTGTGGCCTCTCTGCCACTGTTTCTAGAATCTTGGTATTTTTCTCTTTTAGAATGTCCTGCAGTATTCTCTGTAGAGTTGATTTGGGGGTTGCAAATTCCCCTAGTTCCCCTTATCTTGGAAGATCTTGTTTCTCCATTAATTTCTAGGGACAATTGTGTAGGATATATCAATCTTGGCTGGAGATTATTGTCTTTCAAAGCTTGAATTATTTTGCCCCATGCTCTTCGTGATTTGATGGTTTGTGTGGAGAACTCTGCTGTAATTCTGATGGGTGTTCCCTTATAAGTGATCTTTTTTTGTCTCTGACAGCCTTTAATATTCTGTTCTTATATTGGATTTCTGGAATTTTGATTATTGTATGCCTGGATATAGTTCTGTTTGGGTTGTAAGTGGCTGGGATCCTGTATGCCTCATAGATCAGAGTATCTTTACCTTTTCCCATATTAGGGAAGTTCTCTATGATTATTTCTGTGAATAGACTTTGCAGTTCATTTGTTTGTATCCCTGCCTCTTCCTTTACATTCTTAATTCTTAAGTTATATATCCTCTTATCATCTTCTAGCCTTTGTATTGTTACTGCTCATTTCCTTGTTATTTTTAAGAAGTTTTCCTTTCATGTTCCCACATTACAAATCTGTCCTCCAGTTCAGATAATCTATCCTTAATTTCTTTCAAGCTGTTATGCCAGATTTCAATAGAGTTTTTAGTTTCCTGGTAATCTCTTTGAACCTGCTTCATGTATTCTATGTTTTCTCTATTTTCTCCATCAAACGATTCTCCCCCTTTTTTTCTGTTCTTCCATTCCACTATCTATTTTTTCTTGGGAGGTGCTTAGCATTTCTTTAACTATTCTATTTATGCCTTGCTTTACTTGGTTAAATACTTCACTTTTGAACTCATCTATGAGGTCCTAGAGATATCACTTTATGTCTACTGGTGCCATGCATGATATTGCATGTTTTCTGTCCTCATTCTCTTTTGCATTTACCTTTCCTGGATCAGTGTTCTCAGGACTGGGGACTGAGGACCCTTTCTTGTTGCTCCCTCTTCCCATACTTTTTGTTCCTTTCATACAAGCATATATAGAAGGCCCAGTTTCTTTCTTTATCAGTTACAGTTTGTTTGAATCATGCTGGCTAGGTGTTCCCACCCACTACAGTGAACTAGGGATACACAGACCTGGGCAGCCTATCCTGACCCCTCCAGGTCAGTCAACCTGCTGAAGATTTCACTGCATTAGGGTGCACTGCAAGGCACAGGGACCTGGTCTGTGCTAGCCTACTGGGTCTTAGTCCATGGTGTCACACAGGTCAGGCGCTCCCCAACAATCCTGCTTGAGAGGGGAATATGTGACTGAAGTCACTGCAGCATCCTGTCCCAGCTAGTCTGCCTGGTCCCAGGATGTTCTCTGTTGGAGCCTTCTAGTCTATGAAGGGGTCCTTGTTCTTCTCACCCACTGCAGGTTGATGCAGGGCTCCCTGCCAGCTCTGCTCTCAATTTGGTTTGCAGATTCCCGCTTTCAGAGCTTTCATATCTCTATCCCTGCTGTGCCAATTCAGATGCAGAAGCAACAGCAGGAAATTCAAGCCACAGTTTCCAGAGGCACAGGTTCCAGCTTCTGCACCGAGACTTCAGTTATTCCACTCATAGAACTGGGACTGCAATTCCGATTGTTTTCTCTCAGCTTAGTTCGTCCCTAGGTCAGCAGGGTATATCTCCCCCTGCTTAGGACTCCCCACACCACACCAT